AGGCTTCTCTCCAGAATGAACTCTCTGATGCTTTGTAAGATCTGAGGAGCTGCCAAAGGACTTGGTGCATTCTCTACATTTATAAGGCTTCTCTCCAGTATGAACTCTCTGATGATAATTAAGGGATGATGCCAAACTGAATGCCTTGCCACATTCTTTACATTTGAAAGGCTTCTCACCAGTATGAACTCTGTGATGTTTATTAAGGGATGAAGAGTGGCTGAAGGCTTTGCCACATTCTCTACATTTATAAGGCTTCTCTCCAGTATGAACTCCCTGATGTAGTTTAAGGGAGGAGGAACACCTAAAGGCTTTGCCAAGTTCTCTACATTTGTCAAGTTTCTCTCCAGTGTGAATTCTCTGATGAATACAAAGTGTTGACAGTCGTCTAAAGGTTTTCCCACATTCTGAACATTTATAAGTCATTTCTTCCCTATGATTTCTATAATGTTGAGTATGTCTTGAGGATTGACTAAAGCCTGTTCCCTTTTCCTTGAGTGTATAAAATTTTGCTATAGTATGAATTCTTTCCTTATGAACAATAAGAGAAGAATGACATTTAAAGGCTTTGCCACATGCTTTACATTTGTAAGGCTTCTCTCCAGTATGAATTTTTTGATTTAGCATACAACCTGAAGGCCAATTCAATCTTTTACCAGAATCTTTACATGTATAAGATTTTTTTCCACTATGGACTTTTTTCATTTTATTTGTATTGAATATCTGACTAGAGATTCTAGCACAAGGATTCCATTTGTAAGACTCTTCCCCAGTATGAATATTATCTTGTTCATTGTAATTTGAAGACTGCTGAAAAATCTGGACACACTGACTTCCTTTTTGTGTCTTCTCCACAATTGGAATAACCTGACCTGTACTGTGATTGGAAATTTGGTCAAAGACTTTTCCACTTTTATAATTGTCCTCTGCAAGCCTGCTTCTCCAATGGTTAAGATATGACTCTTGCTCAAAGTTTTTGCAATGTTTAATCCATTGATAACTGTTCTTTCCATTATATGTACTCTGGTGATAATGGGATATAGAAAAACTTTAGTGACAGTTATAATTTCATTAAACATGTACACTTATTCCATAAGAACCATTCTGTGATACTCATTAAACCAAGATGGTTGTATAGTAAAAGCTTTCCTTATTAAAATTATACACAAAAAATAACTACAAAACATTAATTGTCAAAAAAAAAAAATGAATCCTTGTTTAAAAGATTGCCAAATTGCCCAGCCAGCATGGCTCCATGGTGGAGCTTCAAAGATCGAACAAGAAGGTTGGTTCCATTCCTCATGAGGGCACAAGCCCAGGTTTGGGATCGGTCTCCAGTGTGAGGAATGCAGGAGGCAGCCAGTCAATGATTCTCTCTCATCACTAATGTTTGCCTCTTTCTCTTCATATCCCTGCCTCTCTAAATTCAATACAATGTATTTTGAATAAAAATAATAATAAAAGCACTAGCTGGTTTGGCTCAGTGGACAGAGCATTGGCATGTGGACTGAATGGACCTGGATTTCATTCCAGTCAAGGGCACATACTCAGGTTGCTGGCTCGATCCCCAGTGGGGAGCATGTAGGAGACATCCAATCAATGATTCTCCCTCATCATTGAAGTTTCCATCTCTCTCCCTCTCCTTTCCCCTCTGAATTCAATAAAAATATATTTAAATGTTATAATAATACTAGTATTGCTCAATTGAGAACACTTTAATTTTATAGGTATGTTAGTAGCCCTGCACATGAATCCGTGCATGGAGTAGCTTGCAGCAGCTTGCCTCAGCAGGCCACCCCACCCACTGCTGCTGGTATCTCACTGCCCCACTCTCCTGTAGCTCTCCGCCACTTGTAGTTCACTGACCTGCCCTCCTGTACCTCTCCCCACCCACAGCTCACTGCCCCACCCTCCTGTGGCTCTCCAACACTTTTAGCTTGCTGCCCTGCCCTCCTATAGCTCTCTGCTGTTTGTAGATCAGCCATGACGTTATGGCGTGGTGGCTAATTTGCATATTCCTCTATTATCACATTATAACTCTCTACATTTTAGAAATGATTGCATGTAAGTTTAATCCCACAGTACATTTTAAACAATTCCAAGTATGTGCACTACAGACTATGCAAATTCCTAGTTTATCCAGATTTCTTTTCTAAGAATGCATAACAGTAAAAAGTTGTTTTCAACATTCACCTGCAGAAATACACTAATCTGCCAATGTAACTGACTTTAAAGTGAGAGGTTTCCCAAATGAATAATAATACACCTGACCTCTTTAGGTAACAATAAGCTTATTATGATAACTGTTCCAGATTAGTTCTGTTTATATTAAGATCCTCTGTTCTCATCACACTCTTCTTCTCATTACAAGGCTTGCATTGAGTGTACATTATCAAAGTGATACCTTTTATATCTTACCAGTATTATTTCAGTGAATAAATCTTGTATTCCGAACTTTGGCATAAGGGCCTGGTCATCTTCAGATGACATAGCTGAAAGAAAACAAATTTTCAGTTTGCACAATCAGGTGAGTGCATTTTGAAGTGACCAGCAACTATAGTCCAAATGTTATTTTTGAGTATTCCAAGACCCAGTGAAGAATTGAAAACATGTTCAAAGCTCAAGATAGGTAAAATGAGGAAAACTCACATCAAAGAGGGAGAAAGAGTTGCTTACATTTGCCAATGATATCTGCTCAAATGCCCTGTCACACTATGGCAATATTATAAAAACACTCCCACCTCCCATTTTGTCCACTGGAGAGAGGGAGAGAGAGATGAGGAAAGTACATGTTCAATGATCTCCCTGTTTGTTTGTTTTTTAATATATTTTTATTGGTTTCAGAGAGGAAGGAAGAGGGAGAAAGATAGAAACGTCAATGATGAGAGAGAAACATCAATCGGCTGCCTTCTTCACGCCCCCCACTGGGGACCAAACTCACAACACGGGCATGTGCCCATGACTGGAATCAAACCCAAGACCCTTCAGTCCTCAGGCCGACTCTTCAGCCACTGAGCCAAACCAGTCAGGGCTGATCTCCCTGTTTTGAGGCATCTTGAAGAACATGTGTCTGTTGTGCATGACAGAATACGAACAGAACAGTGGTACTCGGTGAGTGCACTGTAGTGGCTGCTACAAAGAAACAATGAGAAAGTGTTCGAGCACCACAAAGACTGGGGTACTGAAGATGTATATGAAGCCTGAAAAGATACTGTGGGTTTGAGAAAGAAACAGAGAACATTTCAACTGAGAAATTAAACAGACAACCGAACCAAGAATATAGATACTGAAAACAATGTTGACCAAAAGTAGGACTTGTTCCACAGATGGTCATTATTTGTTTCCTCCTACAGAAAACATGTTCAAAAGCCTGTTTGCTTACAATTCCGGAATCTCAATAAAAGATATTAAGTTATGGATAGAAACAGAAAAAGTGTACCATCAGGGGAACAAAATAAATATAATCAAATTGGCACCACATTAATGGAAATATATTAATTACCTCAAAAAGAATGGAAAATTAATATCTTAAAGACAAAAAGAAGAAAAAAAAAGAGATAATTATATAATATCAGCAAAATATTATATAACCAAAATAAAAATACAATGAGAAAGTACTTTATAAACACCACACCAAAAGGGGAAATTGAAAAACATAATATCAGAATTAAAAAATACAGTAGAGCCTTAGTCAGTTTGGCTCAGTGGATAGAGCCTACGAACTAAAGGGTCCCAGGTTCGATTCTGGCCAAGGGCACATGCCCAGTTTGCGGGATCTATCCCCAGTAGGGGGCGTGCCGGAGGCAGCCGATCAATGATTTTCTCTCATCATTGATGTTTCTATCTGTCTCTCCCTCTATCTTCCTCTCTGAAATCAATAAATTAAAAAAAAAAATACAGTAGAGCCATAGGTGGTTTGATTCAGTGGATAGTGTGTCGGCCTGCAGAATGAAGGACCCCAGGCTCAATTCTGGTCAAGGGCACATGCCTGGGTTGTGGGCTAGATCCCCAGTAGGGGGCGGCATGGAGACAACCAATCAATCATTCTCTCTCATCATTGATGTTTCTGTCTCTCTCTTCCTCTCCCTTCCTCTCTGAAATCAATAATAATATATCTGGGGGGAAAAAAGAGTCCTAAACGGTTTGGGTCAGTGGATAGAGCAGCGGTCTGCGGACTGAAGGGCCCCGGGTTCATTTCCGGTCAAGGGCATATGCCCGGGCTGTGGGCTCAATCCCCAGTAGGCGGCATGCAGGAGGCAACCAATCAGTGATTCTCTCTTACCATAGATGTTTTTATTTCTCTCTCCCTTCCTCTCTCAAATCAACAAAAAATATATTTTTTAAAAAAAAGAGTTATCTCTCATTGAAATAAAAAAATACAGTAGAACCATGAATGAAAGACACAACCAACTCAAAACATCAAATAATTTGCCCGGCAGTGGTGGTTCAGTGGTTGAGCTTCCACCTATGAACCAGGAGATCACAGGTTGCTTCCACGTAAGGCACAGGCATGGGTTAAAGGCTCAAACCCTGAATGTACAGGAGGCAGCTTCTCTCTCTTCATTGATCTTTCTATCTCACTCTCCCTGTCCTTTCCTCTCTGAAATCAATAAAGATACATTTAAAAAATAAAAATTAAATAATCAAAGAATTTGTACATACATCATTAAAATTTAATTCATTAAAATTTTGATTCAGAGAAGCCAACATACATGTGGAAATGTGAAGAGATTTTAAGGAACTCCTAAGACACTAACAAATGGACCATCCAGGAAACCCCATGGTGTGGTGCCAGGCTGGGGCGGGGGACCTAAGGCAGTGCCCCGCCTGGCGGGGCTTCACAGGGGACCTCAAAACACATACCCCACCCCAGGCCAGGGACTTCAGGCTGTGCCCCCTGCCCAGCGGGACTTGACAGCAGACCTCAGGCTGTGCCCACTGCCCTGGCACCAGGGTGGGCACCTCAGGCCGCGTGCCCCACCAGGTGGGGCTTGACAGGGGACCTCAAAGTGTGCCCCCTGCCCTGGCCCCAGGCTGGGGGAACTCAGGCTGAGCCCCCGGCCTGTCAGGGCTTGACGGGGGCCCTGTGGCAGCAACCCCCATGTGGCAGGGCTTGCTGCAGGTGGGGCTGACCGGGTCTGGGTCTTGCTTGATTTGGGGGCACATGAGGGTGGGCGGGGACTTGACTCTGGCTCCTGTGGCGCGCCCCAGACTCTGACAGGGGGATGATTTTCACATACATTTTATTAATTTTCTTTCATCTCTGACATTTCTATTATAGAAAAAGGGCAAATTACAATATTTCCTTTAATTAATTCCCTTTTAATGTGCACAAATTTTGTGCATCGGGCCAGTAGTTTATAAAAAAAAAAAAACTTCTGTCATTTCGATGTATGTACATGTGCTTTATGTTTATTATTATTATTTTTAATATATTTCTTTTTTTTAAAATATATTTTATTGATTTTTTTACAGAGAGGAAGGGAGAGAGATAGAGAGTCAGAAACATCGATGAGAGAGAAACATCGATCAGCTGCCTCCTGCACACCCCCCATTGGGGATGCGCCCGCAACCCAGGTACATGCCCCTGACTGGAATCAAACCTGGGACCTCTCAGTCCGCAGGCCGACGCTCCATCCACTGAGCCAAACCGGTTTCGGCTTAATATATTTCTTTATTGATTTTAGAGAGGAAGGGAGAGGGAGAGAGAGAGATAGAAACATCAATGATGACAGAGAATCATTGATCGTCTGCCTCCAGCATGCCCCCTACTGGGGATTGAGCCTGCAACCCAGGTATGTGCCCTTGGCTGGAATCGAAGCAGGCACCCTTCAGTCCACACACCGATGCTCTATCCACTGAGGAAACCAGCTAGGGCTGTTTTTTATTATTTATTTACCACAAGTAATGGTCAGGAATTATCTTTCTTTTAAAATTTTTTTACTATTTCACTTCATTACTGCTGTGTATGTGCTGCATGTGAGTGACGGAGGTTCTTATGTAGGTGGGTTCCGACTTATGGCGAAAATTGCGTTACATCATGCCGTAGAAACGGATCTCCGACGTAACCCAAGCATCTACTGTATAAAGTAGTGCTGGCTGTCATTACATACGAACTCAATAAATGAACTAAACATGCAATTACCTTAAATTGGAATGCTAACAGTATAGCTTTCACAAGTACTCAAGGTTGACAAACATTCAGAGCCATCACTATCCACGTCTCAATGACACTTTTCACAAAATTAGCATATCTCATCCTGAAATTGATATGAAATGACACAGGGCACCAGGGAACCAAAACAAACATGGGAGAGACAGTATGACCTTAAAGGCATCATGCTTCCAGATTTAAAAAAATATTTCAAAATTGGTATTATCAGAAAGATTAATCTTCACATTAAGACAGAGGTAAATAAAGGAGAATGGTAGGCTCTGGCCAGTGTGGCGCAGGGTCAGAGCATCATCCTGTGCACTTAAGGGTTGCAGATGTGACTCCCATTAAAGGGCACATACTGAATAAGACCTCGTTCATAGGCCACGAACCAAAATGAACTCAGCATGGATCAACAACTAAAATATAAGACTTGAAACCAAGAAAACACTGGAAGAAAGCATAGTAAATGAACTTTACCATCACTCTTAAAAATACTGGTTAGACTATATCTTCCTAGGCATAACAAAGAGCTAAAAAATAAAAAAGTGATACTATAAAAGAATAAGTTTGGCATACCAAAAAAACCCACAAAATAGCAACAACAACAACAAAAAACCCCAGCATTTATACATCCTCAAAAGCTAAAGATCGAAAATATACATGGAACTCACACAACTTAACACCAAGAAGACAAACAATATGATTGAAAAATGGGTAGAGCTGTTCCCCCATCACACAGCTGTACTCTTCTTTAATAGAGGTTTTTATTACCACCTAGGCCACCCTGTTTTCTTCTATTGATGTTCTGAGCTCCTTGCATCAAAATGCAGTTACAGATCACCACCCCCCGCCAAAATCAGAATCTCCACAAGATGGGTTACCCTATGGTTTTCAGAAGCTGCCAGAGGGTTCCAGAGTCTTCTGTAATGATACCAATTATTTTTATATTATTTTTTCTTGTTTTTTTTTTATAGTACAGTAGAGGCCCAATGCACGAAATTTGTGCAAGGGTAGGCCTTCCCAGGCCCAGCTGCCTCGGTTCTCCCAGCACTGGCTGCCTCGCGGCCCCACCCCCAGCCCACTGGTTATTCAGGCAGGACATTCCGCTGTCTGGTCTAATTAGCATATTAGCACTTTACTTTATTATATAGGATATTTAAAGGCAGTATCTTTTGTATTGTGAATTTGCAGAAGATGCATAATGTACTTTTTTTAAACTTCCATTGGTATGTACGGTATATGGTCTGTGTAATTCTTATAATGAAAATAAACGTTTTCTTCATTTAAAAAAAAAAGGAAACTGGGCAGAGGACCTGAATAGACATTTCTGAAACAGGACATAAAGATGTGCAATAGACATATTAAATGATGCTCAACTCATCCAACATCAGAGAAATGCAAATGGACACCAACATGAAATACTACCAAACACCTAACAGGATGCCAATCATCCATAAATCAAAAAATGACAAGTATTACCAATGAAGTGGAGAAATGATAACATTGATGCTCTGTCTGCAAGATTATAAACACACTGGTGTAGCCACTATCAAAACATGATAGAGGATTTTCCAATATTTACAAACAAGTACCAGTTAACACAGTGATTCCATTTCTGGCAATTTATACAGAGAACATGAATTCAAAAAGATATACCCACCCATATATCCACTGCAGCACTATTTACAATAGTGAAGATATTGGACTGGAAAAAAAGGACTATTTTTATAATGATGCTCTACCATTTAAAATAAAAGACTTCATTTGACTTGACATATAAGGACACAAAATTTATATCTCAACTCATCTCCTTCAAGACGTGACTCACTATATGTTTATTCCAGAAATGACACAATAGCTGCAAAAATAACTTCCACGTTATGGAATAAAAATACTACATTAATTTTATACAACTCATATTTTTGAAAAGCAAATACGTAACCAAGTTTGTATTTCAATCCATTGTATTCAAATAAAAACTCCAATGTATCAACTGAAAGATAAAGAAAAAACAATAAATAAGGCATCGTCAACAACAGGCAGAGAACGTATATTTCTAAAAGTCAATATGGCCCAGCTGGCATGGCTCAGCAGTTGAGCGTTCACCTATGAACCAGGAAGTCATGGTTTGATTCCTGATCAGGAAACAATCCCGGGTTGCGCGCTCAATCCCAAGGACGGTGTGTGACGGATGATCAATGATTCACTCTGATAACTGATGTTTCTATCTCTCTCTCCCTCTCCCTTTGTCCTGAAATCAGTAAGTCAATTATTGTAGACAACATGAAAAGTGTGCAAACACTGACTTCCTAATTCACAAACATTAAAAGGCTTTTCTTTTCTACACCGAAGAACCCATAATTTGTTCCATGAGAGGAAGAATCTACCATAGAAAGCAGATGCCCCCTAGAAATGTTAAAATAAAAAAGGAAAAAAGCCCTGCAGGTGGAGTAGGAATTCAAGAAGGAAGTCACCCTCACCCACAGAGGCTAGGTTGCTGTAGTTCTCCAACATCACATCCATGTACAATTTCCGCTTAGCAGGGTCCAGGCATTCCCACTCCTTGGGAGAAAAATGTATGGCCACATCCCAGAAGGTCAATGGTCCCTGAAAGAAAAGACACATTTACCAAGAGGCCACTAGAAGAGTTCATAATGTGCCCAAAAAGATCAAGCCCAATAAGATAGATCACTTTGCCCCAGTAACATTCTCTGATGTGATTTCAAACACTGACAAATGAGGATGTCACATGTCCACAAACCCATGGTACAGATTTTATTTTTCAGGAAAATAAACTTTAAAATTAAGGCATGGACACAGGTATATGGATCTCTTGGGTGCTGCATTTGCATCGTTCGGGGTCAGTGTGTATGGTTTTCAGCTGGAAATGGCAGGCTGGGTTGGAAATATATGGACTTCTTCTCAAGTGTAAAACAGACCACAAGGAAATGAAATTCTGTAAAAATACAGATTCTGATCCTTGTTCTGAGATGGGGCCTGTGTTTCCACATGTATAACAAGCTCACTTTTTACTTGTGATGTTAATGTTTCCAGTGCATGTGCCACTCTTCTGAATACACAGAAGACAACAGAGGAAAAAATTCATACAGAACTTTCAAGTTATTAATGGAACTTACAGTTCTCATGGAATAGGATACATAGGAACCACAATCCTCTTTGAAAATTTACTATGAGTAATCTTAGAACAAGATGATTCTATCCTGCCAAAACCGGTTTGGCTCAGTGGATAGAGCGTCGGCCTGCGGACTGAAAGGTCCCAGGTTCGATTCCGGTCAAGGGCATGTACCTGGGTTGCGGGCACATCCCCAGTAGGAGATGTGCAGGAGGCAGCTGATTGATGTTTCTCTCTCATCGATGTTTCTAACTCTATCTCTCTCCCTTCCTCTCTGTGAAAAATCAATAAAATATATTTAAAAAAAAAAAAGATGATTCTGTCCAGACCAGCCGGTGTTGCTCAGTGGTGAGCGATGGCCCATGCACCAATAGGTCACTGGTTTGATATCTAGTCTGGACACACAACCAATTTGCGGGCGCAATCCCATGTGGGGTGTGCAGGAGGCAGCCTATCAATGATTTCTCTCTCATCACTGATGTTGCTAGCTCTCTCTACCTCACCTTTCCTCTTTGAAATCAATAAAAATATAGTTGAAAAAATAAAAGAAAAAATAGCTGAAATAATGTTAACAGTTTCGGATCAGAGTCACACATTTTACAACTATGAAATCAAGATGGTTTAGTGGCCCTAGCTGGTTTGGCTTAGTGAATGGAGTGTTGGCCTGGGGACTGAAGGGTCCCAGGTTCAATTCCGGTCAGGGCACATGCCCAGGTTGCGGGCTTGTTCCCCTGTGGGGGGCATACAGGAGGCAGCCGATCAATGGTTTTCTCTCATCATTGATGTTTCTATCCCTCTCTCTCTCTCTCCCTTCCTCTCTGAAATCAATAAAAATATATTTTAAAAAAAGATGGTTAGTGATTCTGTAAATCTCATGAATCCATTTGTGTATGATCCCCTTTGTGTTTTAAAAACACAATAAGGAGAGAAACATAACGATACAAAACAAGTGAGACCTATTGTTTCACTTTTGTGGTTGTAAATCCTCACCTGGGAAGATTTTTCCCATTGACTTTTTGAAAGTGGAAGGCAGGGAGGTAGAGGCATGAAAAGAAAAGAGAGGGGCTAGGAGAGGGAGGGGGAGATGGGAAGAGAAAGAGAGAGAGAGAGAGAAAGAGAGGTCAATGTGAAAGAGACAGATGGATTGGTTGCCTACCAAAGGTACCCAGGAACTACTTGCCCTGGACCAGGAATCAAACCCTCCACCACTGATCCACACCACACTGGGGGAACTAATTTTTCTTACTAGTACATTTTTCAAAATTTTAGGTATCACTAGTGGAGAGCTATATTGTAGAAATGTAATGAATTTAACATACACTAAGAATACCATTCTTGTATACTTTCTAGAAAATACAAGTTGATAATGTAGGGTATGTCTGTGACGTTTGTGTAGAATATAATGAAATTTTAAATAATCAAGACCTGATTGGTTAAAGCTCCCATGATAAAGCCAATGGACTATCCTATACAATAAAAGGCTAATATATAAATAGACCAAACTGCGGAACAACCAAACAACCGCTCACTATGATGGGTGCTGACCACCAGGGGGCGTGCGCAGAACCTGGTGGGAATTGGCCACGGTGGGATGGTGGAGCAGGTGAACGGGTGAGCCAGACCAAGGCAGGGCGCTGGTCACTGTCATCGGGTTAATTCTCTGGTGGTTATTGAAAATCCTTTGCTCCTGTATACTGTGGTCCCACCCAGCCCCTATCGCCCCTGAGGGCTTCTCCACCTACCCCTGCTCCTGAAGGGCAATTGGGGCAGCAGCTGCCCTTGCACCCACTGATGGCAACAGCCCTGCTCCCACCGCTGTTGACGTTGGCCCCAGTTGCTCTGCACTGGCAGCAGGTGTGAGGGGGCCGGCAGCATCAGTGCATGGGAGTGGCAGCAGCAGGAATGGGGCTCCTGGCAGACAGGGGACTGAGGGCAGTGGTGGGAGTGGCCAAGTGGGGGCACGGTGGGTGGGCCAAGACTCACCTCTGTGCCCACTGCATCCTCACAGCCCATAGTTCCTTTCAAGGTGCATGAATTCCTGCACTGGGCCCTAGTCTATACTAATAAAAGGGTAATATGCTAATTAGACAGGATCGACCGGGCATTTTCCGGACATCGAAATTCCTTCCAGACAAAGCCATGGTGGCGGGAGCCGAGGCAAAGGTGGTTAGGGGCAATCAGGCTGGCAGGGGAGCAAGGACTTAGGGGCCATCAGGATGGCGGGAAGCAAGCAGTTAGGGGCGAGATCAGGCCGGCGTGGGGGAGCAAACAGTTAGGGGGGGATCAGGCCGGCGTGGATGAACAAGTAGTTAGGGGGCGATCAGGCCGGCAGGGGAGGGCAATTGGGGGACGATCAGGCCGGCAGGCAGAGGCAGTTAGGGGCAATCAGGCAGGCAGGCAGGT